GACCTTTGGTCCTCGACATTTTGATCTTGTTGTATGACATTTTGGACTACTACTTCGGAGACCTACCGGACCCTATCTTGTGACCTATCGGTGTGATCTACCTCCTACCTCCTTCGTCTCTCCTCCCACCTTTCATCTGTGCATGTGTGTACGGGATCTGGGTATCTTCTATGAATGACCCAGGACCCACCATCTCATGATTGTATGTGTGTGGAGTGATGCCATGTAGGTCAGTCTATGTGAGTCAGTCTATGTGAGTCAGTTCGTTATAAGCCTTCCACTGCATAAAAACTCAWCCTATATTGGTTGATTCTTGGTTCTGCCCATACTCATTGGAGTATGTAACAGTCAAGCAGCAAGTGCAAGACTGAATGTCGATCGGCAGGGGCTGGGTCAGCATATAGTGTTGACTCCGGTTGACCAGCCTCTGGTCGCACAGATATGATGGCCCAGATGGACTCGCGGCTCACGGTCAATGGCCTGGATCCCATACAGTTGCAGATTCCCACTTGGTCTTGATTCTTGACAGATACCTGCAAACAGCCAAGTGTGTGTGTCTGATCAGTGGCCCGGGCTGGATCCATGTTGACCTTGACTCACGAGCCCGAATTTCCGAACTGCTGTTGACCTTTGACTTTCCACAGTCAACTGTCATACGTTGGACCTCTAGAGCCCAGTTTTAGACCTTGCTTTGGGTACCCACAGTGGCAGGCCTTTGTTCAGGCCCTTTTCAGGGCTTGGGCGTGGTCGTTGACCCCTGTTCCGGCCCTTTTCAGGGTTTGGGCGTGGCTGTTGACCCCTGACGACCCTTAGCCCACGACTGATGCATGATTTTGAGCTGACCTATTGCAGGTGCGCCAAATACAGCTATAATGACGGGGTCTTTTATTCTGGGTGAAGACGGTAGGACTTCTCCCGCTCTTTTCTGGACGTAAAAGCAGTTAGCTTCCTCCTTTCTCCCCCCCTTCCCCCCCCTCTTAAAGAATCACTGTACTTTGATTCTCTTTCACAGCATGTGCGTGGAGGAGGCGGTGAGAGTGCAGTCCTTCGGTATCCCAGTGGGGAAGCCGGTTAGCTCTGTTCTAGCTTGCCTCACTTGGGCACAATGCGCGGAAAGCACCTTCCTCAAGTCTCTTGGTGAGGATCAGCCACTATGATAATAATAATAATAATAATAATAATAATAATAATAATAATAATAATGATGATGTTTCATATATTAGCAAACTAAGATTGACTAACCAAAAAAGAAAAAGAAAAAGAAAATAAAAAGCTTGACTAACCAATGCTGCAAAGAAAAAGCAACTTAGGGCATACTCACACCAGGCCCTCAAAAGTCAAAGTCGCAAAAAATCCCAAAATGAGCGGCTTGATCTAGTCCTTGCTTTACACGGACTCGATCTGGCCGCTCACTTCGTGATTTTGCGAGTTTGAGGGCCTATAGTGTGAGCATGCTCGTATTAAAGTTGTTCGCTATGTGTGTTCATGTGTCCTTGTTTTTTGAATTTTTTTGAGCTTTTGCTCGGAGAAATTAATTCTTGAAGTCAATGACTCATTCATGTTCACTTTTGTTTGTTTGTTTGTTTGTTTGTTTGTTTGTTTGTTCGTTTGTTTGACTGTCAATGGAGGAGGAGGAATTGCGAGCATGCGTGGAAGAGAGAGACAAAGAGTTGCAGGTATGGCGGCTTTAACTTGAGGTCATTCTTCTTGTTCTTTTTTTTTTTTTTTTTTTTTTTTTTCCGGTAACACACAGGATTGCTCTGATCTATTAGTGGGGAGCTTCACGTGCTGGGAACCGGGCCCAAGGTTTACATGAATGAGTAGGTACCGGGGCCCTTGAACGGCTTCGGCCAAACCAAGGGTGAGGTTGATCGGAACTTGATCCCAAGTTAGTCCCAGTCCAGGCCCGACTCCACTGGCCCGTTTATGATATCAGTGATTCAGTGGCCCTTTCTTTTTTTGCTTGTTCAATGTGCTTCTTTTAACACTACTGAATCCATCGACTGCATCGGGATTTGAACTCATGAGCTGTTGACTGATAGTGACATGTGTGTGTAGTACTGTGTACCCCATCCAACGACATGCACCAGGTCCTCCATTAGTGATCTTGATGGTATGCTACACAAAGAGTTCCGATGGTTAAAAAAAAGAAAAAAAGAAAAAGAAAAAGAAAAAAAAGAGATCCAATGGTGAATGGTGAAGACCCTTTGGTCTGCGTAGTATTATAGAGCCATACAGTCATAGTACATACATGGCCTTATAACCATAGCACATGCATAGCCGTATAGCATTAGTACATGCACGACTTTATTGCCATAGTACATGCATAGCCTTATAGCATTCGTACATGCATAGCCTTATAGCGCTAGTACATGCACAGCCTTATAGCCATAGTACATGCATAGCCTTATAGCATTAAAGCCTTTTGGCCATAGTACATGCATAGCCTTATAGCATTAGTATGTGCACAGCCTTGTAGCCATAGTACATGCATTGCCTTATAGCATTAGTACGTGCACAGCCTTATAGCCATAGTACATGCATAGCCATATAGCGTTAGTACATGCACAGCCATATAGTAGTATATGCATAGCCTTATAGCATTAGTACATGC